CAAAGCTTTTGAGGACTAGATCTGACCTGAAGAACTCAAGGCGTTGCGTCGTAATTACATCCACCTTCTGCCTCGTTGCCTCGGGAGTTCTATAGAGGCATCGAGGCAAGGCAGTCTGGAGCTTTCGTGGCGTGTTGATAAAAGAGGGTTTAGAAATGGCCTTAACAACTGAGGTGTCTATCCCATGTGATTTGTTTTACTAAAGACTGCACCGAGGAAACTAAAACATCTTATGCAAGCAAATGATAAAACTATGCCTCCGTCCTCGATGTAGCACGAAGGATCAAAATTTTGATCTCCGCCGGAACCAGGAAAAGAGTGAGAAATATGCGAAGAACGTTTAATAGTGACTCAGACAGATAAAATTGACTTGCAACCGATTCCACTAGCCGAAACTGTGGAGTGTGCTACAAGAACACAGTCTGTGGAGACCACCGAACTGATGGTAGACTGCTTGGTGGTATGTGACTGTATCAGCGACAGGAAATCGATGTATTTCAACGTGATTATTAATCTACACCAAATTGTGTCCTTTTCTATTCATAACACTTGTGAAATGGTCTGGCAAATGTAGCCTGGGAACTGATATTATTACAGTTGGGAGGAGGTAATAACTCACCCGTGAGAGTTATTCATAGACTCGTTTCTTCATGTTCGCAACTTCTTATGATTCCCAACAAGCGTTAGGGAGGTTTGCTGTTGAAGATACGGAAGAAGCTGAAGATCTACGTCATGGAAGGGTAATATTTCCTGCTCCACTCAATGCAAACGTCGATATACTGAAGCAAAAGCTTATTTATCTCGCAATAACATTCGTTAGTAATAGCAGTCAGAAAATATACATGCAGTTCGATTCGGTAAAAGCAATAGCGAGGGAACAATAAAACCAGTGGGTAACAATGATCAATCATCTATATTCAGATTTATTTTCGTTTCTGCCCTCAATCATGCTGTTGATGGCTAAATTGTACGAAGGAGGATGTGGATGATATAAAATACAAACTGCAGAAAAGACGCTACTTCGCGGGATAACTTATTTCGAGAAGCTAGACATGCTTAAGACAAGATAGTAAAGAATAACCTGGCTTGTGAGCTGCCCATTCTCCAGGCTGAAAAACCGCTTTGGCGCTGGTTCATAGACAGAACCCTGATTGCCGATTGTGATAGTCACAGTTTGGACCTTTTCACAAAACACCGTTGCTTGTGATTACATTTTAAACCTGCAGCCAGATGACTCAAATTATGTAGAACACTGGAGCGTTATGGCTCATTTGATGACGCCTTCCCAGATTGGTAGAAGAATAAAATCATTGGCGACGCTCTCTGAAACTGGCTACTGGCAATCTGAAAGGAAGCTAGAGGCTGTGGAAACGAAGAATTAATTAGATTTCAAATTCATTAAAATTTTATAGTATAGCATGATGGGCTAAGCAGATTAACAATGCCAGAAAGATCAAGTTATTCGAAAAAGAGCAAAACGAATAAAACGATATCTCAATGGTAAAATTTAGAATACGATGGATTTAAGTTTGCTCTGAATGATTCCTGCCACACGTAACTTACTCAATTCCAGAAATATATGTTCCAATCGGATAAGATTTGAATAACGCGTCGGTAACATATGTAGGAGGAAAACGCAGAATGACAAATCGTTCGCAGTTTATACGTACAAGCAGGAATACATCATAAAACACATCAAGCTCAAATTTTGTTGTAATGAGTCACGGCGTCATGATCGAACTGTTCTGCAAGAATAATGCAGTAGCACTATGGTGTCAGGGTCTAACTATCGATAACTGCTGTAGTTGAAAGCCTAGGATTAACCTCTTTATTAGCCACCTACTGTGTGTCATTTCTACCGTAGTTTACTGTCGAAAGAACGGGCTTGCCTGCACATTCTAAATCTTCAGTCGAGCCTGTGTTGTAAGGTACTTAATTGTTCATGTTCAATTAATTAGCTTCTGTCACCTCAGATCATAATTTCAAAGGATTTCTCCTTGCAGATGTGAATCCATTCGATAATGA